CGTTGTCCACTCATAAGCTGAAGCGCGTGCTATAAAATAGGTTTCGAACAGTCGATAGACGAATGCGAGTCAGCGACCGCACGATTCCGATCACCCATTTCTACAGAATCCGACGAATATCTATTCCACATTTGAACTTCAATGCAGTCGCAGCTACGACGACAACTATCTAGAACCAGACGAACGCAACGTACCTTCTCAATGAAATCCGACTCGGCAATAGCAACTGATGCAACATTGCTATCTCTGCCTCTGGCAGCTTCATAATGCATTTGCTCCTTGACGAGCTGCTTAAGTATGAACAGAAGCAATTCGCTGGAGGAACGATTCGCCGTGAGATACTTCGAGAACGTCTGCAAATGAATGATCTCAATGAATATTCCGTGTCCAAAAATGTGCCCTCAAACAATCACCCAACCATGTGTAGGCAGATGATGAAAACTGCACAATTATTAGAACTTATTCTCGACACAACAACAACGCACCTTTCTCATCTGACGCATAATGGATGCCTTTTGAGTGTTGATGAAGCTTTCAAGCATAATTCGCGTCGCAGCCTGCACATCTTCGTCATTCACAAATCTAGAATGAGCTGCCGTCAAGCAATGAAAGCGCAAGTGGCACAGCTCGATTTGACTCACGCTCTCAGGTGTAATTTTGCATGCGCCTCGGACAATCGGATCATCGACTCAACATGACGCACAGTTATTGCAACTGAACCAGTAGCCTGTAACATCGATTTATTGGTATTACTTCCTAACCTCGCTTGCTCATACAAGATGGATTGATAGATGCGAGTGTGCTCACCATACTTTGCTTCCTCATTTGCGCAAAAACTGAGGCCAACTTTTCAGAGTGCCTTTGTTGGAGAGCAGGGTGACAGTTTTCTCTAGCAAAGATAATATACTTCCTCAGAAGATCCTGAGGAATAGTGCCACTCCAGATCGAGCATCAACACCATTCTATAAAAACGATCAGCACGCAACAATATTCTACTAAAAAAAACGAAAGCAATCAACTTACCTCTTCACTTGCTTCGTCGTCACTGACTTGGCGATTGGGATGTAGCTTGATGTGGTTACCAACCACGAATCTTGCAAGCCTGAAACTTTTAACAATATGAAGAGGTAGGAACCTTAATACATGCGTTAGAGGGATGTGGCGACCTCTCATCTTCAACGGGATCTACCGTATCTCTGATGACACAAAGCACATCAAAACGGGATAAAATAGGTTCAGTAAGGTCCACGTTTTCTGCGAACGTACGCGAAGGATTGTACCTAAATAAGACCCTTTTGGCTGACATGCTCCCACTCGAAAATATAAGTCAACGAAAAAATTAATAAAGGAAACTAACCTTCCTCCAATCGGGTTAGCAGCTGCAATCACTGTACATCTAGCATGCAGTGAAGTCACTATTCCAGCTTTTGAAATAGAGATTGACTGCTGTTCCATAGCTTCATGAATGGAGGTACGGTCCTGATCTGACATCTTGTCAAACTCGTCGATCAGACACACGCCCTTGTCAGCAAGAACCTTAAAAAAGGTCCAACCGTTACTGTGATTACTGCCAATAAAATTAACAACTTCTGCTGAAACGTAATTGAGCAAGTAAAAATGTACCATGGCACCAGCTTCTAATGTCCATTCTCTAGTAACAGGATGACGTTGAACGTAAGCGGTCAACCCAACCGCTGAAGCGCCCTGACCAGTTGTGAGCACAGCACGAGGAGCTGTGTGCGCAGCAAAACGCAAAAATTGCGACTTTGCGGTTCCTGGATCTCCACAAAGAAGGACGTTGATATCTCCTAAAGGAAAAATTAAGTGGAAATTTTTCTCTCGTCGCTGTTCTATAACTAAGAAACCAAAAGACGCGCCCACCTCTCAATTTATGCTTCTCTCCAGGATTTTTGGACTCTCCGCGAAACAAAGCAAGCGCTATAGCTTGCTTCACGTAGTCATGGCCGTATATCGATGGAGCAATCGACGCGAAAATTCGCTCAGCAATGTGTGGATCTTTGGACAATTCACGTATTGCCTTAATACATTTGAGTTGATAATATGATGCCTAAAGAGCCGTCCTAACTCACCTTTACATCATCATCTGTCAGCTGGCTACAAGCAAGTTTATCTTTATTTGATATATGATTCGCGTGAATAAGTGTGTTGAATACGGGAAATCCTTGCTTGTAATTTAAGGCACCGTCAAAATTGTTTGAATAAACTCCGGTCACTTCCTGTTGAAAAAAGTATTAGCCACAATCGAGCTTAACACAGAAACTAAAGGACTTACAATTTCATCACCAGGCTTGCAAGAATCACAAAGATCACCAAGCAGTATGCAATCTTTTGAACGAGGCAGACGACCAGCTGCAACCTTATTGGGGGATTCCTGTATCGTGATGCGTTGGTAGTTGTGGTAGACGGTCTGAAAAATGCCGCATTCGAAAACAACAGTGAAGCCCTTCAAGTATCAGTCCATAGAACGAAATGGAACTAAGAGCGATGACTCACGTTTTCAACATTAAGTTCGAAGGGTCCTCTTCCTTGACATGATGGGCAGATCGTTGGCTTCACCTCCTCATCTTCCCGTTGTATAAAAGGACCGAGGATGTATCCGCACGCAACGCAATCATATTTGACGACGGACAACTGTGGCATGATCCCTGACGAGGAAAGATTTGTAATATGTAATCATTCAGCAAGTATTTGTAATCACATTATTACCTGTGGCGACTGTCACCACACCACTTGTCTTAATAAACATATTAAGGTGGATTTGACGTAGCATGCGAATGTCCTCTTCAACTGGCAAATTAGATATACGAACCTGCAACAACTCCATAAAACTTGAACGCCACCAAATTAGAAAATCCAACTAAGGAAGTTTACCATACAAACCTTTATTTCCGAACATACGCGTCCATAGTAAGGATATATTGTTAGAACAACATCCGTCGCAGCTTTGTCTAGAATCCTCAATACCTAAAGGAATAACTAGTAACAAACTCATTAAAAACGCCAATAATGTGGAGCTCAAGTATTCAATGGCTGACTGTCGGCGACGTTTCTGACTTCACCAGTACATACATGGTGAGGCCTTATCGGTCGTCAAGCGATGTTCCCTCCCAACTGCTGTGATTTATGTATAAAACACAGTGAACGACTAAGTCGGGAGGGTCGAAAGCAAAGTCTTCTGGGAAGAGGAAACTAAACAACGTCGAAGTGGAACGTTTGACACAAGACCACCTCTCATTTGTTCTACGGCTACCTCTATCCTTGCCCTGGTCAGCGCTTTCTCGCTTGCATAATCTCGCGAACTACGACCTCACCTTTCAAGCTTCTGCACCACACCAAGCGGCTTATCCCCCCCCCCTCCGGATAGACGGATTTTTGCTAACCATATCGAAGCTTGATATCGCAACTGTCCTACGCCAACCTTTGCGTCCTTTCGTGGCAGAGAAAATGGAGGAGATTTATGCAGTCACGTAACCTTCTCATATTGCACTCACCTGAACTGGAGCTTCCGGTAAGAAATAGCAAATGTTAGGTTCTCCACTGTCATCTGCTAGATCACGAAAATCGACTTCCAATGACTCCTTATTCTCGGCGGATGCCATTTGACTCATAGCCTATAAGAGTAACAACTCGCAATGACTGTCTTGATACAAGCCCAAGAAAGCAAAAATCTGTTATGCACCTTCAAGTACTTAGCTTTGCGAGTGATAGGGGTCTTTGAATGCGCGGAGGAAGTTCTTGAATCTATAAAGAATTACCATATAACACAGTACACACATGCTTATACGTTTTCAGGCAGCGTTCCAATACCGCATACATATGTGACCAACCTTCTTTCTATCTCCCTCGCCACAGCCTCATCAGAAACGTGATCTTTCGTTGATCGGCCCCTCAAATTTTCCAGGATATCGATGGGAACTTCCTCCGCCCTATCCTGATCTTCTCCCGTCCTTTCCTCTGCCGCGACTCGACGTCTCCTTCGCTCTTCTCGCTAAACAGTGGGATTCCGCAACTGAACAACACATAGCAAGAGCGTAAACTTGAAAGAGCGAAAACCTGCTCCTCGTCGCCTTCTTCGTAGAACAGCGCATCGTCATCAAGGATCTGATCCCTTTGTGCCATTTCTCTTTCAGCGGCTAGCCTTCCACTTATCGATAATTCATCTATATCCGAGGCCCATTCGTCTGGGCATACCAGACGTCGTGAATAAATGTCAAGTTCAGGTTGTGCTCGATAATCCCTAAAAATGAAGGAACTGCTTACTAACAGAAAGGAGGAACAGTACACATATAGAAAGCTGGAATGCAACAATGATATAGCTTTGGTGCTGTCAGAAATACCTTTCCATGTCATCTCCAAACAAGTTTTCCCCTTCTTCATCTTCCACGTCCTCATTCTCATTGTTGAACAGCTCGTCGATGACATCCTCTTCCTCGTAACGTTGACTCTGCGGCTCTCCTAGAATGATGTTCATTGATTCCGAGAAGTTACTAATATTGCCTATACAACACCATGTGCAGCCAATATCAGTAACTTCTCGGAATCACAATGAAATGTAAGAAGACTCACCATTCTGTCCGATAGAATCATCGTTATCTCGCCTGGACGACATACTTGTGAAGATGAACTTCAACTGAAAGAAAAAAGAAATACTAAGCTTCAACACAACATAACTACAACCAGAAAAAAGGAAGGAAAACAAGGGTCGCAATCCTTCACTTCACATGAGCGATTTGAAAAACGAATTTTGCCGCCCATCGAATTCGCGCACTTTTCGCGTTGCGGGACCAACGGAATGTGAATGCGCGCGTCCCTTCGAACGTTCCATAGCGTCGACTGGATGGTCTGGCGCCAGGATGCGATTCGGCGGACAATTGAGCTGTTACTTGGAACGAAGAGGGCACACGAAGCTGATTGGTTGACAAGAAAGCAAAGAATGCTGCGTGAGGATATGTTGGAAAATCTGAACTTGCAATAAAACCTCGCGACGTTGATGGCAGTGCTACTGAGACCTTTTGCACTTTGACCCGCTGACCAGGTATGATCGTCCACTAATGAGGTGAGAAAAAATACTTCGTGTATTGTGGGTATCAGCCTAGAGGAACAAATCCCTATCGTTCCGTGATTTTCCTCACTGTGATAATGAAGAGCTAGATATTGAACTCTTGGGCTGAGTCGCCCACAAATTATCATATCTGCAGAACTGGGATGATTTTCGGGTTTTACATTTAGACAGTCACACCAGCGGCGACCGGAATTCGTGACGCGGCAGCGGACGAGTTGTCCGGGGGAGTGGCGCCAGTCGGCAGCATTTGAATTTCTTGTGACGCCACTGCTGGGTTTGGTTAACAACTGCTGCTTCCCATTGGTGAAAGGTAATCAATTGAAGGTTCGTGACTCACATAATCATTTGAATGGTCGTTTCTGATTTAGCTCCTGTTTAATATGTAGGAATTGTAGAATGAGAAGACCCGATGTGAAGGGCTACTCTCGAAGAAGGCGATCCAGCGAAATCATTGAGGTCGAGAACTCTCCGAAGGTTTGTGCTGTTTCAGAGACTTACGAATTTTCTAGTTATCACGAAACAGTCCATTGATGAAGATGGAACAAGTACATTTCCTTGACTGGTAGACCGATCTGCATGGACCATTCGGTTTCTTATTTATCATATGATTTCATGTTTGAAACTTCTTGCTCCAATGTTCAAGCCGTGTTTTTAAGAGTCATTGTGACTTTTCTCCATCTGTAAGTTTTCGAAAGGAGAATCTTGATTCCCTTCAGCATATGCCGTTATCTTCAAGCAAGTTGTTTGAACTTTAATCTCAACCGTATTCAAAACCACTTTTATCACTCAGTGTTCTAGTGTTCCCAGTGCAGTGTTTTTGCTTTTCTTTTACTGATGTTCCACTTCGCACTTCCTGTTTACTTTTCGAACAAAATACCACTCGCGACTCCTGCCAAATTAGAAATTCTTTGGATGCATAAGAAACTGACCGCATTTTAACAAGGAGGAAATGGTAATTACACAACTTGTGGAAGCTTCTTGCATCCACATACTCGTTATTCTGACAAGTAATTATATACGCAGACAACAACAACAACAAATTTAGTCTGAATTGCGTGGAAGAGATAGCTGTTCACAAGTTTAAAGCTGTTTGTTAACGACTTTCACTTGCTAAATTACTTTTGAAAGTCTAATCACTAATCATTTAGCGAAGAAGATCAAGCGATTCGGTCAACATCACTTTACAAGCTGATCGTCCATTTTCGCCCGCCACATTAGCAAGAAAAGTTTGTTTGTTCTCCGTTTCGTAGTGGAGTTCCTGGCTGTTACCGTTCTTTAGATATTATTAATGTTTTGTTTATACCTGTCGGTTGTTGAAACAGTGGTTTTAAGCTTGATGAACTGCGTGAAGATATTCTGTCGGATGCTGTCGATCAACTATCGGCTGTGGAATTGCGTGGTTTTGACAACGAGGTTCACATAAACTTTGACACGAATTGTCTTTTCCATACATTTGAAAACTTTCAATTTTAATTCAGGTAGAGACAGAGGAGGAATACATGAAGAGACGTGAAGAAGTACGTCGTCAGTTGAGCAATCCTGATGGTTTCGATGCGAACGGAAGAACTGAGCTCAACTATGACGCCGCTGCGGTTGCTGGCGCCAAACTTCTAATCGACGAAACACGTGCAACGAGAAGCATGTGCAAGAAGTAAATACTTAAAGTAAATGTTTTCAATCAAAGTCGCTCTGTATCAGAGTCGAGCAGAGCTTGGCATACAGAAGGCCTCCTAGAGTTTTAACGTTAGAGTTGAAGTGGGGCATGTGGCCATGGAAACCATGAGGCCTCTGATAAGGATAGGTTAAGTTTCTGATAAGGATATCCCATTTCCCTATCAGTTGTCGCTTTCTCCATCTTACATTATCGCCGGGTCAAAACGTTCCCGTACTGTTTTAACAGCAAATCTTCTCGGACAGCTACTTTTCAACTGATAGATTCAGCAATTTTGTCCTAGCTCTGCTTTATGGTCCAGCGAAAAATGACAAAGAAATTGTTGGAAAAGGCGGATTCTAGAATCGCATTTCAGGCTGATGGATGACTGTGGAATTGATGAGGATGAGATTCTGTATAAACCGCTCTCTTACGACGAAGGGACTGAATATCAGTCAGCGAAATATCTCGCTAAGTAAGTTATGTTGGGTTACAAAGAAAAATGAATCATTCTGTAAATCCACTAGTTATGTTTTAGCTCAAGGCAAGCATCCGTCGTAGAATCATTGGTGGATTTCCAGAAGCAAATAAAGCTAAAATCCGAAGTTCTCAGTTGCGTAGCTCTACGGAACAACAGTAAGTTTGACCACAGCTCCTTTTCTTTTTAATCTTCGAAAAATCGTGGTGACTGGTCTCAACCGGTAGAACGAAACCGTAGGTCGTACATTGAATTCTTCTTTTATTACCACCTGATTTTTGCTGAAAAAATGTAGTACCAAATTTTGGTGTTTTTTTTAACTTTGTGGGTGTACTACTTAAGCATTCGACTGATTGCTTCTATAGGTGCGCATCAATTACACCAGACTCAAGCACAAAGTTGGAAAAGGGCGCTAGTTCTGGGCGATTATGGCAATGCTACTGAGCTTTCTTTTACCTACTTCTGTTTTAAGACGAAATGTCAAAGTCGGACGGACGACTCACTCGCCGTGCTCGTGAAGAAGAACGCGAGAAGTTGAAGGCTAACGCCAAAGCAGCGAAGAACAAGAAGATTCGTCTCATGCGTACCCCATCTAAAAATCCCCAGCTAAATCCATTGGATGAGAAAAAAGTGAGCACTCCTCTTTCATATTGTGTCTGTGATGTGTGGCTGTACAGGTGAAAACACCTACTATTTTCAGATTATTGAAAGGTACGCACTGGAAGTTGCGTCGGAGGTGCGTGATAACAGAAAGCGCCGACGAATCGCCCCAGTACCCTTTGATATTACTCTGTTGGATGACATAGACTATAATTTTAGTGGTCCTGTATAATAGGCATCTCCCATCAGAATTTGTCCGCCTGTTTTATTGATCACCTTGTATATTACTTGAAAAAAGTTTCTCAAGAAGAACACTTTGGCATTTTCCACTATCCGGGTAGAAGTAAATGTTGAATGGTAGTAGTACTCCTGTCATTAGCTCTGTAGGAAAATCAATACGAAATACTTTCTCACTTGACGCTTTTACGCCCCTTGTCATGTCGTTGTTCGTGTAGTAATTTTTGATCTTGTCCGGTATGTTTAACGCTAATTTGGCCTTGGCACGAGATATTTCACGTCCTACTGTATGTGCTCAACTGTAAGCAACGCTTCCAATCGTTAGTAGATATTACGTGTACAGTCACAAAATATTTGTATGCTGCTGATACATTGATAAATAAACAGCTAAAACACCCAGGATGATATATGTACATTAAAAACTGAGATCTATCGACTGAAGATTTGCAACATCTTCCCTCTAGAGAACTGCCGAGCTGAAATACTCAATATAAAAAGCGCAGAAACCCATTCCGAAATTGAAATTGACAACCTTCTTCTATTCCTAAACTGTATGCAGTATTCTGCACATTTTTTATATAATCAGCAAGTTGATCTGGAGTCAAGCGACCAAGTTCTGCAAAAGGGAGGGAATTGCTAAAAACGGTAATGCACACGCTAAAAGATGTCACAAGAATGCTGATAGCACAGAACGGGTGCGCTGCAAATACGGTAAAAACGCTTATGGTGCAGAAAGTGCAGATAGGAATGAAATAGTTACCTTCATCGAGGTACAGTTCAAGTCGTTTTGTAGGGAGATATTCAGGTGGCTAGAGGGATGCAAGGTCATTAACAGATTAGATTGCTGTGCAGTCTAGTCGATTTGGAGTGCAATATAAGCCGTAGAGCAAAAAGACGTTGAAGGACAAACTTATGAACTGAATTCCTATCCCTTTCGTTGGTATCTGAGCGCGACCCAAGAGAGGACTACAATATTGCAAATTTGCATTTCGGTCAAATACCGATGTGCATGTGAACACCGTTAGGTCGATGTCAGACACTGTGCATCGAGCGATTCTCCAGGTACGAGCACGTTGCAGCACGGATCGAGCTATGTACCAATGGATCGAACGATGTTAAAAAAAACTCGACGCTGTTTTAGAGCGTTGGACTCCCTCTCGTCTGGTCGCGCTGGCTATCCCTACCTTCTCGAGCTCTCATGCCCTCGTGAGCTTGAGAGATGAGCCAATCCTCAAGTTGAATCCCGTCACTTTCAAACCGTGTCGAGTCGCTGGTACACCGCTCGAACCACTGGTACACAGCTCGATTCGCAGACGCGACACTCATATAGTGCAGTTCGTTAGCGAGTCGCTGGATTTGCAAAGCCTGACACCGGCCTCATAAGCGGACCAGCAATCAGAAAACCATCAAGAAGAAAAGGATATGAAATGATAAATAGAGAGAAATCTAGCTTACATGAAATGAAAATTGAAGCTGGATTTAAGTTTCTAAGAACTACAGTGAAAAACTGCATAGTGAAACCTCTTCATGAGTTGTCATTACTCTGTAATGTGAAACCATAAAAATGACTCACCATTTACGAGTTTGACATCGTCCGGAGAAAGATCGGTTCGAAAAGACTTTTGCTTACTTGGCAGCATTCCCTGCAAGTAATACAGTAACACATATAAACACCTTGGCCTTTTGTATCAGCTTGACAATATGTTCAAGCAAATGTTCACGCAAAACTTTCGAATACCAAACCAGAATTACGGACCGCCGCTCGTGCAGCGTATTTTGTTCACCTTAGAAACTACCGTAAATTTGCCTATAGAGGTAATTCGATGCCCTGATTACGAAAATGACTTTCATTTTTAGCGGTGGCGCCATCTGGCGCCAGTTGGCGTCACCTTGTCACGACACCTGTTTTCACCAAATTTGGTGTAAACTTCCGTATAGGGGTTATTTGGTGTCCTGATTACGAATATGACATTCTCGGCGCTAGTGGCGCCTATTTTCTGCTCGTCTGCGCTCTCCAACCGAGAAATATGCGTTGAACAAGGTTAATGCCAAAAACGAATGCATGTTTTTTGGTGCAAACAAGAGTCGTGACAAGGTGAGCGCCAACTGGCGCCAGATGGCGCCACCGCTAAAAACGAATGTCGTTTTCGTAATCAGCATATCGAATTACCCCTATGGGCAAGTTACGGTTGCCTCTACGCAAGTGCACTGCACCAGCGGAGGTGTTTTTACGGGATATCGGCGCGGGCTTATTTACCGGAAGTTAGGGTGTCTATGTTCGACACAACTTCGAACCTCAAACTGAACCTTCGCCATCAGATTAATATAAGACACATCAGAATCTACCAGGCCGAGAGTAGAAAATACGTATGGGGTGAAAAAAAGGTTCACAAATACCCAGCAAGCTTAAGGATGTAAGACAATGTTCTGTAGCTGGTAAGCTGCGACGCCATGGATTGTGCGGGATGTGTAACTAGGATTTGAAAATAAAAAAAGGATAAAGCATTTGCCGTTGATCAATCCCTTTTTGGGATGCGGCACGCATTCTACTTCCATTTGTACATTCGTAGTGGCGTTTGAATGCGATGTGGCCTATACAATGACTTGCGGGGGCCAGCCGATGTACAAGTCAGTGTTTTTATCCTCCCAGACAAGTCTGGTACCAATTAACCGACCCCGGAGGGATGGAAGGCTTGGTTGGCCCGGGCGACTCACGACCCAGGATTTGATCCCCGGACCGCTCGCGTGGTAAGCGTGCCACTTGTCACTACACCACTTCCGCCCTTTGAATTAATGGAAATGAAAATTCAGCAAAATTGATGAAATGATTTTTTCTGTGAACAAAGTCGGTAATCGAATCGACTATCTAACTCAGTTGCGATTCTGCACTAGCAGATGTATGTCGGGAGCTAGGCTCCAGTCTTTGATTTCGATCTCGTTCGCGATTTTAAATGAGCGTAAGTACGTTATTGGCCATGGGCTCTGCAATCGCCTAATCGCATGATCGACCAAATATTGAAATCGCAAGTTCACAGTCTGCAGTCATAGTTTTCCGATACTGCGGAATAGGCCTTACAATTCGGAGCAGGAACACTCGCCCACACGAGGTTGGCAAAAAAAATCCTTTAATTTTTCATTTCTTCCAAAAAAAAGAAGGCTCCAAGAAATTGACCAGGATTCTGTCAGCCACAAGGTGAGAGCGTAAATGGAGAATTTCAAGCTGGTTTCAGAGTCCGCGATCCGTCGCAGGTTTCGCTGACTTTCGCGATTTATTTGAAACCGTGATACGACGGATCGCAAAATTGCAAGTGTGTGACATTTGAAACACTGCATATGAAACAAATGGAATCATGAGCATCAGTCATTCAGCCATCACTATCAAGCAGAAGTGGCGGCAGGATTGGAGAACACCTTGCAGTATTGATCGGGCACTTGTGATTTCCGTGACCCGTCGCGTGAATCGCGCTAATTCGACGCAAATCGCATAATGCGGCAAATCGCGATAGCGAAACCGCGACGGATCGCGGTACTCTGGGACACCAGCCTTAGGCTTTGCTTGCAGTATTATAATAAGCTTCCGAAAAAGGATAATAAAAGCAGAAGCTGTGCAATCGTAAGCATGTGCGGGACGCCTCCAGACAGCGCCACAAAGCTGAATTTCCTGTCCCCACGGCTGGAAGGAATCCTGAGTCCCCCCGGAACAGGGCGTATTTGTGAATGCAGAAATAAAAAATACTGTAAGTAAAGAACTTTACCTTAGAAAATTGATTTCAAGTGATTTTTTCCCGTTAACCCTGGCGACATTGCGGGTCGATGTTGGGACGCACTTTTTTTGCCACGACGGACAATGCGGGTCGATGTTGGGATGCAGCATAAAAAAACTTCACAGCGCATGTTCCAAGTTTCTAGTAATCACACCTTGCTCAGCAGGCTTCGTGTCACCTATAGACACCTTGGTCCGGCGCCAGCGCCATTTGGCGCCATGTTGGCGCCACATGGCGCCACGCCCTTTTTGCCACCAATTACGCTGCAAACTTAGAAACAGGGATAATCGGTGGTCCTGAGCCTGAAAATAGCTTCCGTTTTCTGGCGCCGCGCCATTTGGCGCCAAAGAAATAGATGCTATATCTGTGTTTAGGACCGCCGATTACCCCTGTTACCAAGTTTTCCAGCGTAATTGATGACAAAAATGCCGTGGCGCCATGTGGCGCCAACTTCACGCCAAATGGCGCGGCGCCAAAAAGATGCCATTTTCATGCTTAGGACCACCGATTACCCCTGTTCCCGAGTTTACAGCGAAATTGGAGGCGAAACAGGTTTTGGCGCCAATTGGCGCCACCTGACGCCAGCGCTGAAAACTACTGCTATATTCATGTTCAGCACCCTTGAATACCCCTCTCAGTGAAGTTTTCGTCTCTGATGAATTTTCACGACCACTGAGGTTATGTTAGTCAAAAAGACTGTCATCTTGGACAATGCGTCCCAACGTCGACCCGCAAAGAAAAATGCGCGCGGTCCCACATGGCAGACACGCGAAAAATGGCATTGTCGCCAGCGTGTTAAGTAGTGATCACTGGCCCCGAGCCATACTTCAGCAGATAAGGTGGACATCACTGTTACCTTGTACAACACGGGGCTACACTTGAATGAAACACTTCTTGGTTCCGACGATTCGATAAAAGCTGTCATAAGGGCAAGAGTCAAACTTTGCACTATGAAGAACATCATGCGCAGAAGATTCGCGGCAGCACGAAAATTCTCATTGAAACCATCCAAGCGACCATCCACTGGCATTTCAACGAGGCATGCCAAGCAAAAGTATTTGATTGTAAACTATGAATTCGAAAAATAAAGGTAACTAAATAAAAGGTAAAAGGTTAACTGAACAAACATAGAACTTCACATCATGCTCAGTGTTATGCTTGGCCGCTCCGGGTACGTTCTCGGGAAATAGAATCGGGAGAAGGAGCGCGTTGAAGGGATTCGGTGCATGACAGCACTCCCGACTGGCTGGCAGCTCGGCTCATGTTATTCTGTAATTGTCCACAGATCGACTTACGAACAGAACAATATTTTATTCGACAATTGTATTGAGCACGTTCAGTGAAATATTCTCTGACAATTAGATGATAAACCCATTTCGCTTGTATGACGCGTGTACAGCAAGAAAAAACAAAAGGGCTATTGCACTTCGAAGGGCACAAAGAGGGTTTTTGACAGGCCATCAGCATGGGACCGAAATCGCTGACTACATCCGGAAACAAAATGGTTCCCGTCCTCAACCCAGAAGGAGTAGCGGAATGTGTGGCTTCCATTAAACCTAACAGATACACTACAGCAAGCGATGTTTCCAAACCATGAGTAAACACTGCGTTACAACGACCGCACGATAACTGCCTCGATTTCAAAAACTCAAAAGCCAGGCCAGATTCCATCAACGAGACCAGAAATGGTCCAGTGGGAGCCCCTCAGACTGGTTTTCCACCACAGCACTTCGCCCTAGAGGTGACAGGCGACTATGGCGACCTTCTGAATGGAAAGCACAGCGAAGTCCATACGCACCTGCCAATCATATCGATATTTTATCCGAACCACGTTCCATTGTGGATCTTGTTTTCGACGTCACGACTATTCCGCAGGTCTTGAAGACCACAAATTCGCTCACATTCTCGAACACTGGAGATTTATTCACTCACTGCTGATGAAAAATGCTTTATAGTAACGCGTTATCTAAGCCCTGTACGTTTGAGCAACAGGTGATATGCTGGATCAAAGCATCGCTGTTCCTCACTGTTCGCATCACAAGGCCTCTGCACTGCATATTATAACTCATACAACCAAATGTCGAAGCTTTCATTGATTACCCAACGAACAATTACTAGTGACAGTAACGAACTCGATGGCACGAATAATAATTTTTGACTGTTTTGTTAGAAGAATACATAAAGCAGGTCGAAGAAGGCCTTCAGGAAGGTGGGAAAGAGAGTCAACAGCATCTGTGGAAGTAGGACGTGGACAGAAACATGTACGCGTAGACAGAACAGAAGCTGAAGTAATGTGCAAATAGCGCCGACTCGAATCGGTGGGAGAATTAGATTGGGGCGCGAATTCCGACGTAGGGCGCGCTTTTATCAGATTTGCACTGCGGACATTGCAGGGTTGGTTATGAAGAGGATTGTATCTAACATTTAGTCCTTTTCCTGTGATGATAACCAGATGGTAAGTACGAATTCGTGAACCGAAGGGATTGAAGGCAATTCAGAGGGTGGGGAGGGGGCGGGGGTGAGGCGTGAACCACCTATCGTGTGGCGAAAGTTTTGGCGTGTGAGATCAGTGCCTGGTGTCTTGCCTCGTAGAGCGAAAGGAGTAGATGCCACAGCACCTATGAAAAGCCCAATGTGAACATAAATCGACCTTGTTGATCGAACACTCTCCTATTGTGGAAACCATTTTTCTAGCGGTTCCCTTTTGAGCGTTCTACTAATACTGCAGTTTGCAGGTTGGGAGTAGCTGCTTTCATGCAGCGCTGATATTCTGGACTATGAGCTTAGTGAGCTACACGACAGTTCCTGACAACCATCAGGAACCTTGTGATGCGTCGACAATAAATCCTGAGAGATGTGATGACACTGACCTGATCGCAGAGGACTCAATTCACGGGTAAGTTTTGATCGCACGCAGTCGACCTTTTGCTGGAGACGAAAGAAAGCCCGAAAATGTCCCCTTTGAATCCTATGACTCACAGGCGGAAATGCAAGAGCTTATCATTAGTTAGGAAATAGACCCTCATATCAGAAGATTCAAATTTCGTGAATTCCAGGGCCACAATACCGATCGCGTTCCGAGAAATCTTGTTCGATCTTCACCTGCGGCAAAGCCAGCGAATCTTCTGCGTGGGTAAGTTGATCATTTTGAATGAGGTTGCCTTTTAAG